AGCTCCTGAGTGACAGAGCTGCCCATTTGTTCTCTAATGTTCATGTTGACAATACACACATGGCTCAGGAGCCAGTGGCTCAGGGTAGGGCCCTGTAATGGCAGGAATGGGCACAGCAGATTTTCTATGATTCCAGCAGACGGGGTGAAGGAGTCCGAGAGCCCTCGGTGGCTTTTGCAGGTTTTTATTGGGATTTACCAGGGACATGGCAGGCAGAGGTGCAGGCCTCCCAGCCCCCAGCAAGTCTTCACTCTTTCTGGGCTCTCTGGCCTTCTCTCCCATGCTCTCTGCTTCGCTGCTCTTCTGCTCTACTCCCTGCTTCTTCTTCTCTTCTCGTGGTTCTGCTGGCATCCCCGTGACACCACCCTTATAAGTTCAAACTCTCAGCCCAGGTGTACCCACTTACGCATGCCCACACCCTACTCCAGGTGCCCACCATCAGGCATGCATTCAGGACCGCAAGGATCCATCATCAATCTTGATGGTGGGAGGGCAGAAAAGCCTGATACCATTTACTTACCCTACAGGCAACATCCTCAGGCCCTAGGGCAGCACTGCTGGCATCTCTCTTACTTCTCTTGTCTAAATATATATCTGCTTTTTCTGGTGGCTCAGAGGTTAAAGTCTCAGTGCTATCAGGCTGTCGCCAGCCACTGCAGTTCAATCCCCGGCCAGGGAGCCGAACCACAGGGCACAGCAGACCTCTCCTGTCTCCCTGCTGCTCCTCTCAGCAGCGTATTTTAGTAGATCCACCTGTTCTGCTCCCCACTCTGTCTCTGGTGAATCCTCTTACCCCCACACCTCTGGCCAGACCCCAGTTCATGTATGCATAAATAAAATAAATATATCTGCTTTTTTTAAGGATTGCTGAATTGATTTTTAATCAGTTACTTCACAAACATATTTCTATATTGCAAAAGTATTTAAACATTAAAGGGAAGGCCAGAATCCAACTTATCCATCCACCACCTCCACCTGTCACAACTGATTACAAGTTCAGTACGTGGCTCTGAACACCTTACATCACAGTGGCAGCTAACACCAGTGACATACCCACATGACATTTGCCCTCATAACGACTCATGGCCCAGAACTTCACACACACACATAAAAATATTTATTTGTAGGAGCTCTAGTGGCGGTGTGCGTGTGCGTGTTTGACATAAATACACCATGCTTAAATCTTTGTCCTGGAGTTTATTTTGTTCTCATAAAGCATCTTGGAGCCCTACTCACATTAGCATGTCTACAGACCCTCCTTCATAACAGCAAGAGAGGCATGTAAACAAAATTTGCTTTAGTAGGAAAACAAAAGTTTTCTAAAGACCTTCAGAACTTCCCGTTTACCGAGATTTCTAATCTCTTGATTTCTAATTAGTTTTAGCTTCCGAGATCCACAGGCAATTAGCTGCCAGGGGAAAGGTTAGCTGCACAGCTGGCCAAGGCAAAGCTTTGCAGGGCAAAAACTCCAATTTGCTGTGCAACACTATCTTCCCTGGAATCAAGACAGTTCTGTACGTGAAAGGTGTACAAAATGCCACCAGGCTCTCTCTGGATGATTTTCTAGTAAATACATGTAATATATTGACATACAAAATTATAATGTCCATTGAATTATTCTTGAATTGGAGAATTTCCTCCTATTCTGGACTAATTTACTAAAGGATCAGTTCATCTCAACTCACACACACACACACACACACACACACACCCCACCCACCCCACCCCCCGCCCAACCCTCCCAGCACCAATTCCAGAATCTCTCTTCCCTTCTGAGTTGTCAAAAAGCTCCTCTAGGGCCTCCCCGGTGGCGCAGCGGTTGAGCGCTGGGTTGCGAAGCTGCCCGCAGCCTCGGCGGCGCCAGTTCAATCCCCGGCTGCTCCCCAGACACCGGAGGAGGGTCCAACATGGCGCACAGACCCCTCCTGCCGCCCGCTGCTCCCCTCAGCAGTGTACTTCGGTCCTTCTGCCTGCTCTGCTCCCAGCTCTGGCTCTGGTGAATTCTCTCACCCTCCCGCGCTTCTGACTGTACCCAGTGCTTGTATAAATAAATAAATCTTTAAAAAAAAAAAAAGCTCCTTCATGTTCCACAACCACTTGCTTCTCCCCTCAACCCCACTTTCTTCTCCACCTCATCAATAGATAAATCTCCTCCTAAATGTAGCTTCCAGTTTGGTGTTGGAGGGTGTAGGGGCAGGAATGACCCAGGGCAGGAATGACCCAGGGCAGGTTTTCTGATCCAGCAGACCGGGTAAAGGAGTCATCCTGGAGCCCTCCGTGGCTTTGCAGGCTTTTATTGGGATTTACTGGGTACGCAACAGGCAGAGGTGCTGGGGGGCTGGGAGGCTGGCAGGCCTCCCCGCCCCCAGCAAGTCTTCACTCTGTCTGGGCTCTCCAGCCTTCTCTCATGTTCTCTCTGCTTCTCCGCTCTCCTGCTTCTTCTCCTGGCTTGGCTTCTCTGCTCCTGCTGGCGTCCCTGCGATCCCGCCCCTAAAAGCCCATCTACCTAGGCCCACACCCTCTCCAGGTGCGGCCATCAGGCATGCGTTCGGGACCCCAGGGATCCGTCATCCATCCTGATGGCGGGAGGGCAGAAAAGCCTGATATGTCTACCTTACCCCACAGAGGGAAACTAATCTAGTGAGTAGCTGATACATCCCCTTCCAGAAGTGTCCAAAGGATGGCTCCTTTTTCATCCAAACTCTCTATTTGGTGAATTGAGCTCTTCGGGGGGAGATATTTAGGGACAGAGCGAACGCTCAAATTCTTACCCTTTATTGCTGTCACAGGGAAGAAAGGCCAGTGCCCGGGGATGGATGATGCGTCCAACATGAGGGACCAGGGAGTCGGCGGCGTGGGCTGAGCAGGCTGTCGGGACTGTGACCCGCAGGTGAGAGCGGGAAAGAGGAAAGCGGCAAAACACGCTGCTTTGATGACAACAGGGCACTTGAGCCTGACTTCCCGCAGGAGCAGAGCAGAGTTCAACTCTTTTATAAATCAAGGGTTTGGCTGTGGGCATCCCGGCACCTGTTTCTTCATGCGAAGAAGGTCCTGGATAATTATTTCTAACACTTGTGCCCAGTTATCAATGAGGGATTTTCCACCATCACTCACGGTCAGTTAGAAAAGAACGTTCCTGAACACCTGGACCATCTCCCTCCTGTCTCGGGAGTCCTGGAGACTTTGAGGCCCCGTCAGCCTCGTGCATGGAGCAGCGCCCGGACTTTCCCTCCAAGGGCCCTGCCCTCCAGGGCCTCTGAGAGGCTCCCGGGGAAGTGCAGACGGTCTCGTTCTGCATCTGTGGACCATCATCCTAAAGGCCCCCACATGCAATTTGGAGTATTTGCCCTCGTGAATTTGAGGCCAATTTATATTACTTCCCCAGGGAACTCTTTTGGTGCCAAATCAGTGGTGGCCAGGCCTTTGGGACTTAGATGTTTCTAAGAACAGTCTCACTAGCAACCCGGTCTTTCTAAAAATACAAACCTTTAAAGCAGCACCTTTCCCAGTCACTATTTGCTTCACAGTGGAACTCACTCGGCACTTTACATAAACGTTTTCTGTGGCAGCATAAATGAAATTTTATGTGTAAGCCATTATCTTTATATGACTTCTCAGAACCACAAAATAAAAACAGCTAATATTTATCCAGAGCTTTCTGAGGTGACAGGCTACATCCTTGATCTTAAGAAGAACTTCTCCAGCTAGGTACTACTTTCCCCATTGACAGATGAGAAAAATGGGTTCAAAGAGGTCAGATAACTCATCTGTGTTCACACAACGGCGGAGTCGGGATCCAGAGCAACTCCCCTGGAGTCGGGGTCCAGAGCAACTCCCCTGGAGTCGGGGTCCAGAGCAACTCCCTTGGAGTCGGGGTCCAGAGCAACTCCCCTGCGTGAAGCAGGCCCCCAAGGGCGTGGAACTAAGGCAGAGCAGAGGGAAAGAGGGGGCGCTCACCCGGCTCAACATTCTCTTCAGCCTCAGGCTGTTCAAGAGTTGGGATTGTCTCTGTTCTCCTTCAGGCACAGTAACATGATTAAAAATTTAAATTTAAAACTTATTATCAACCAGGCCTCCCCAGTGGCGCAGGCGGTTAAGCGCCGCATTGTGAAGCTGTCTGCAACCTCTGCAGCGCCGGTTCGATCCCCAGCTGGCCAGGGAGAAACCCACATGGCGCAGCAGACCTCTCCTGTCTCGCCTGCTGCTCCCCTCAGCAGTGTATTTCAGTCGGTCTGCCTGTTCTGCTCCCCGCTCTGTCTCTGGTAAATCCTCCCACCCTCCTGCGCATCTGGCCTGTACCCCAGTTCTTGCATAAAAAAATGAATAAAATCTTTAAAAAAAAAAAAACAACTTATTATCAACTTGCCACACCCAGACTCTCATTAATTCCCAGTTTCTCATGTTTCATTCATTCCCACATCATCAGTACGATTTATGCCATGTGCATGAGCCAAACCATTATGTACTTAATTCTTTCATTTAAATCATCTACTTTATTTAGACGGCTTATATAATACCTTTGAAATCTATGAATTCAACAGTTTGGCACACTAGTTATTTTTTTCTCAAGTAGTCGATAGATGTAAACATATAGAGATATATAGTTCTATGTTTTGTGGTTATAGTTATATGCCCATATATAACAATAAAATATGTATACAGCCTCTTAAATTTAAAAAAAACAAAACAAAACAGGGTCTCTCTGGTGGTGCAAGAGGTTAAGTTGCAGCACATTGACGCTCGCCACAGCCACCACAGCAAGAGTTCTATCCCCAGCCAGAGAGGTGACCCACATGGCACAGCAGACCTGTCTCACCCGCTGCTCCCCTCAGCAGTGTATTTCAGTAGATCTGCCTGTTCTGCTCCCCACTCTGTCTCTTGTGAATCCTCTCACCCCCACATCTCTGGCCTGTACCCCAGCTCTTGTATGCATAAATAAATAAATCTTTTTTAAAAAAACCATTCACAGAAGGATAGTAAAGCACCAGACATTACCTTCGCTACTTGGAGATGAACCCATTCAGATAAGCTCCTTGACGCAAGGGGCTGCAGCACAGGTGATTCATTCTAAGTCAATAAACCCAGGCTATGTTTGAGAGCTGGTTGTCATCCTTTTCATTCAGTATCAGGCATATCACAGATTGGCAGTAAGAAGATGGGAATGGGGGCGAGAAAAGAAAAACTCTTGGTGTACTCCCTGCAATTATTATTTAATTACATATAACTATAAAATAAATACATAGCCTCTTAAGCTGTGTGGAGATTTCTGGACCTACTAAACATAGAGCTTCCATAGGATCCAGCAATTCCACTCCTAGGTATTTACCCAAAGGACACAGAAACATCAATTCCAAAGAACACCTGCACCCCTATGTTTATAGCAGCACTGTTTACAATAGCTAAGCTTTGGAAACAGCCCAAATGCCCAAAAATAGATGAATGGATCAAGAAGATGTGGTACATATATACCATGGAATATTACTCAGCATTCAAAAAAGATAAACACATGCCATTTGCAGCAACATGGATGGCGCTGGAAGGGATCATGCTCAGCGAAATAAGCCAGAAAGAAAAAGAAAAATACCGGATGGTCTCACTCATAACAGGAATCTAGAAAACTTAAATAAGGGACCAGGAAAATGAATAACTATAAGAAAGTAAAAATCAAAATCAACAAACAGCTATGAACCAGAGACACTTTTTGGGGGGTGGGGGGCGGGAGGGGAGGGATTGGGGTCAAAATAAGGGGGTTGCAATTGTATGGGGAATATAAAAATAAAATTTATTATAAAAAAATAAAAATTAAAAAAATAAATAAATACATAGCCTCTTAAAAGGCCATTAATGTTAGGATACACTCAATTGAAAAGCTATGGTTTCTAGAGCTATGATAGAATCAAGAGCCATCAACAACGAGTGTTTCTTGGAAGCCTACAGGAAATTAGACTCCACCAGACTGTCTTTACCGCTGATGACAGATGCAAGAACAATTCAACCCAGCCAGCTGTGACTTTGTAACGCCAGTTGATGGTCATGAAGAACTATGAAGAAGCAAATATGGTCCCCAGGATGTTCCTGTGGCTCTCTAATGGAGGGTTTGTCCTCACATTAAACATAATATGGCCTTATCATTAGGATTTAGATCTTATTAAACTATTTTCTCCCCAATTAGCAAATTCTTCTCATTGTCAGGCACTTACGTTGACTTTAGAATCTTCCCTCTGTTCAATGGAGAGCAGGTTTGTAATTTCCCCACCGGCTGGGAACTAAGATCCTGACACTCGGAGGTTCCAGACACCTGTGACAAGAAATTCCCACCAAAGAATTGGCTTCTCTCGCAGTGTGTGACCCTGGCGGCAAAAACATTAAGGCGGGAAGGCAGCAACCAGCCCAAATGCCACTCGCTCCTTTTTCTTACCATCCTTGTAGAATCAGACTTACGCGTGGTTCTTAGAGTCCTGAGAGTCAGTTAGTCCCTCGAAAGAGAAGGGTGATGAGGCAGAACACAGATGAACCTCCAGTCACTGCTGGCTGCTGTGAGGCACACACACGTCCTATTGACCTTGTGGGCAGTTTGAGAACGTACTGCGGAAGGTGGAGAAGATTGATGCCTCTGGGAGTGGGCTAGAGAGAGTCCGTGATATTTTCTCTGTAATTGTCATCTTTCATTTCTTATAGAAAAAGGAACTTTAGATTCTATTCAAGGAAAAGGGAACTACACAACCTTTTAGTTTCCTAATTGATGCTACCATTTTACTCTGTTCAAAGAGAGAGATGACCTCATAAAACTCTTAAATCAATTTAGGCTTGAATTTATCTTAGGAAGGTAAATGTGACCGCTGATATTTCCATAATAGGCTTAATTTCCATTCAGCCTATTGAAAAGACCACAGAACCCACCACTTCAAAGGAAAGCTCATTAGCATATGTTAAGGCACATCCCGGAGGAAGTCACCTTTATTCTAAAGTCAGCCCATCACTCCTGCTGGAGAGTGAGCTGAAGGGAGTTTTAATAGAGTTCCTCAGCGGATAGCCCGCACGCCATGTGACACGGGCAAAACAAAGGCTTTTGGATTCCAGAGATAGTTTTTTAAATCTATAAAAAGAAAATGTAACTGGGTGGGCAGTTGGGATTTGTCCTTCTAACAAACGTGCCCCACAAATATGGGCTTTTCTAAAGCCTGCATAGAGTTTTAGAAAATTAAGTTATTTGCCTGCATTTAAAAATATGTGAGGGCCTCCCGCGTGGTGCAGCAGGTTGAGCGCAGCGCTGTGAAGCTGTCCGCAGCCTCTGCACTGCGGTTTGATCCCCGGCTGGCCAGGGAGATTCCCACACGGCGCGGCAGACCTCTCCTGTCTCTCCCGCTGCTCCCCTCAGCAGTGGATTTCGGTCCTTCTGCCTGTTCTGTTCCCTGCTCTGTCTCTGGTGGATCCTCTCACCCTCCTGTGCCTCTGGCCCGTACCCCCAGTGCTTGTATAAATAAATAAATCTTTAAAAAAAAATTCTAAAAAAAGTAAACTTCCAACTACACTCTGAAGATGCAACACTGAGCCCACTCTCCAGCATATCAGGGAGAGAGGAAGAAAAGAAGGTAGCGTGGAGACTGGGGGGAGGCGGGGAACCAGCTGGAAGAGTCCCGGAGAAGTCACACCTCCCCCCAGTGCTCACCCCGCTAGATCTGCCACCTTCCTTCCTAGGAGCCAGGAATGTCTGCGAGCCGCTGCTGCCTGGAGAAACTAGATTGTCGGGCTCTGCCAGGCCTCCAGACACCACCACGATTGTTTAGGCAAATCAGAAGCCAATTCAGAAACTATCTTCCTAGAATTTCTGTTCAAGTGCAAGTCTGGAACACGGACGAAGGTGTAACTACACACGTTGAGATGTGAGACACGTCTCATCTTTCATTTCTTCAGATGAACTTAAAAGCAGGAAGCGCCTGGGGAGCAAGCAGGACCACAGAGTATCTCCGTGACTGAGGGGGGTTATGGAGATGGGGTAGGGGGGCAGCACACAGGGAGCAGAAGGGTGGCCAACCTTCCTGGGGGTGGTGGTGTTTCTACAGACATCCCCTTGAGAAGTCCTTTCTCCCGGAAAGTATTTGTCTGCTCTCACCTCGTGTCCTGGATACCATCCCCCGTGTCTGGTGGCCTGTCCAGTGGGAGTGGACAAGCCTTCATGGACTTGACTCTAAAGGGCACCAGTTGGGTATTGAGCCGGTGGCCCCGGTCTGTATAGCATAGTGAAGCCACTGATGGGGCCAATCAGACACAATCTCCAGGAATGGGAAGAAGATATTGGAAATCTATGGTCAGGCAGCTGTGGGAAAGAATAGTTAAGTGAAAAAAGCAATTTGCAGAGAGTACACTTGTGAAGTATCTGGGAGGATACACACCAAATGTCAACACTGGCCCTTTGGGAGGAGGGACGGAGCCTCTTGGCTCACAGTCTGTTCGGCCTAGGTTTTCTCTCTCTTTTTTTTTTAAAGATTTATTTATGCATACAAGAGTGGGGTACAGACCAGAGGTGTGGGGGGTGAGAGACAGAGTGGGGAACAGAACAGGCAGATTGACCAAAGTACACTGCTGAGGGGAGCAGCGGGCGAGTCAGGAGAGGTCTGCTGCGCCATGTGGGTTGCTCCCTGGCCAGCCGGGAATCAAACTTGCGCTGCAGTGGCTGTGGACAGCTTCATAGGTTGAATCTTAACCCCTTGTGCCACCAGGGAGGCCCATGCTTGGCCTAGGTTTTCTACAGCAAGCATGGATTGCTTTCATAATTATATAAACTTTATAAATAAAATGTATCATATTAAGTATGATGTTTTACATAATACCTGCTATACAAATATGCTAGAGAGAGCTTATCTCAGGGTGGTGGAGCAACAGGTAATAATTTTCTTCTTTATAACTGTCTCCTCTAAATTTTCTATTGTTGTCTGGGAAAACATAACAGACATTAACAAAAGGTTGTTTTTTTTTTAATGCAATGATCCTTTTTTTTCTTTTTTTTTTAAGATTTATTTATTTATTTATTTATGCAAGCACTGGGTACAGTCAGAAGCGCGGGAGGGTGAGAGAATTCACCAGAGCCAGAGCGGAGAGCAGAGCAGGCAGAAGGACCCAAGCACACTGCTGAGGGGAGCAGCGGGCGGCAGGAGAGGTCTGTCGTGCCATGTGGGACCCTCGGCGGCGGCCGGGGATGGAACTGGTGCTGCAGAGGCTGCGGGCAGCTTCACAGCCCAGCGCTCAACCGCTGCACCACCAGGGGAAGCCCAATAAATAGATCTTTTAAAAAAAAAAAAGTACAGGGAATTTTGTTTCTTAGAGATCTATTTCAAAAACTTCCATGATAACATGTTGGCCTACTTACATCACCATAAACATGTTTTAACAGACATAAAATCTTACAACTCTGAGGATTGAATATTATTTACAATGAGGCATTGCTATTTCTGTTTTATACATGGGTAAAGTAACATTTCAAGAAGTTAGGCCATTAGGGTCTCCCTGGTGGTGCAAGGGGTTAAGACACAACCTATGAAGCTGTCCGCAGTCACTGCAACACGAGTTCCATCCCCAGCCAGGGAGCTACCCACGTGGCACAGCAGACCTCTCCTGACTCCCCACTGCTCCCCTCAGCAGTGTATTTCACTCAGTCTGCCTGTTCTTTTCTCCACTCTGTCTCTGGTGAATCCTCTCAACCCCCACACCTCTGGCCTGTACCCCAGATCTTGAATGCATAAACAAATAAATCTTTAAATAAAAAGAAGTTAGGCCACTAAAAATAATCTTAACATAATAAATATTTCCTAATAAAGATGGAATAATAAACAAGAAAGGTAATATCAATTATTTGCTATATACAAGATACTATTTCTTTTAGATACATTAAATAGGTAAATAAGTATATTTGTGGACCTGCCACTTAATCTCCTCAACATCCCTATGAAGTGGGTGTTTTATTACCCCCATTTTATACAGAAGGGGATTGGATCAGGGGAGGCTAAGCAAATCACCTTGGTCACAGAGCTCCTAAGCCACAAAACAGAGATTTCAACCCAGAGAGCTAGATGCAGCTGCCACAAATCTTCTGTTCAGTCACAGTCATAAGTAGTAAAGACAGAACTCAAACCTCTCGTCTGTCTACTCAAAAGCTCTTGGCCCCCTCAATACTTTGTGAGGGCTATTATTCATTTACTTAGACAAAGTTCGGTCTACTTTTTTGTTCTGGCAGGGGCTGATCCCTCCTAAACTCCAGGCACTTGCAATATCAGCTGCTTTTTCTAAGTCTGAAGGTAGCAGTTCTGTGCAGACAGATGAGGTAAGTCAGGCAGCTAGAGCAGCGGGAATAACAACACCCATTCCCATCAGACTCTAGAGTAATGCTGCTCTCAAAATCTAAGAGTCCCAGTTTCTAAAACATATCAGTTTGTTCTCCTAATGGTTGTGAATTCTCCCTCCTCCAACCCCTCAGAGCATTTACTGAACTCTCCTGTGGAATATCCTGACTTACATTTTGGTTATTTGAGAAGTGCTCTTCTCACTCCTTCTAGAGTTCAGTGCCTTGACAACTGTCCAGTTAAAAGGTGGATTTTGCTGCTATGTTAAAAACACCTCTAATAACAGCACTATTTACAAGAGCCAAGAATGGAAACCACCTAAATGCCCCAGAACAGATGACTGGACCAAGAAGATGTGGTATGTATGCCCAATGGAATACTACTCAGCAATCCAGAAAGATAAACTCAGGATGTTTTCAGCAACATGGATGGAACAGGGAAGGATTATTCTAAGCAAAGTGAGTCAGAAAGAGAAATACCAGATGGTTTCACTTTTATGCAGAATCTAGAGAAACCAAACAAAGGATCAGACAAGGACAAACTGTGTAGGACTGACCCTTGAATGCAGACCATAGATGACCATAGATCTGAGACACTCAGGAAGGGAGGCGAAGGGCGGGACAGGTCAGGTGGGAATAGAGAACAGTGGGGGAGGAGAGCATGGGGAGTGTGGGTAAGGACGGTGGGCAATTTGGTGGTGGGAAAACTAGGGGGGCTGTACCTTAGGGGAAAAATCCTCTACTGTGAAAAAAAAACAAGGATTTTTTTTTTGAAATTTTTTTTTAATTTATTTACTTAGTTATACAAGCACTGGGTACAGTCAGAAGTGTGGGAGGGTGAGAGAATTCACCAGAGCCAGAGCAGGGAGCAGAACAGGCAGAAGCACCGAAGTACATTGCTGAGGGGAGCAGCGGGCACAGCAAGAGAGGTCTGTAGTGCCATGTGGGACCCTCGCTGGCAGCCAGGGATCAAACTGGCACTGCAGAGGCTGCGGGCAGCTTCGCAGGCCAGCACTCAACCGCTGCACCACCAGAGGAGGCCCAACAAGGATGTTTTAAAAATAAAGAAATTATATATAAACATATCTAAATTTCAGTGACTTATACAAGATAGAAGTACATGGTCCAGGAGAAGAGTATGGGGCTGGAGGGCAGCTCTGCTCCACTCTCTCATGCAGGGATCCAGGCAACTTTCATCCATGACTCTGCCAACCTAAAAGGGTTGCCTTCCTCTATCTATGACAGCTTAACACTTCACCTGCATTTTAACCAGTAAGAGGAGAAGGTGTCAAGGACAGGGCAGGTC